AGTAATGGAGTCTGAGAATCCTATTGCTAGCAATATACCCAACCAGGTCGACCTCCTCGCGGTTCTCCCTGGAAACTATCATGGTTAATTCCTGATAAATTCATCATGATGGGTTAACTGGCCTGTTTTCATTCTCATCTATCACCCTTCACTGGTGCTCCGCTAGCGTATCCCGTTAGCGCAGGCGGAGTTACCATACCATTTTCACCCGTCAAAAAAAAAATTTTTAAGCCATTACAGGGAGTAGGGAGTTCTATATGTCTGCATGTTTCGTGTAAATGTTAGATAGATAGATACTCTTTATTGTTTCCTCCAAAAGATTACAATAGTAAACTTATTATAAATATAAACAATTACAAGAAATAATCACAGTGAGAAAACAATGGGCGACCTTATCGCTAAAAGCGATCTCTTCCAGCCAACCTTTAGATGGAGAGGAGTAATTATAAACATATGTTACACCATATCTTTGCCAATTCTAAATCGATTTTGATGAATCATCAAAATCGATTACACTGACGCACTGCTATTTCTTATTAGATTCTAATTAAAAAAGAATAGTCACGCTTGATAAAGGGGTTTTTTTTTAATGGGTAATAATGGAATGGTAACCCCACCCGCGCTATCGGTATACACCGGCGGGGCACCAGTGAAGGATGATAGGTGAGGATAAAGCAGGTCAGTTAGCCCATCGTGACGAATTCAACGAGAATTCTTCACGATGGTTTTCAGGGGGAAGCACGTGGAGGTCGACCTAATCGGGCATATTGCTAGCAATGGGGCTGTCAAACTCCATTGCTAACAATCCCTTTCCCCCCTGATAAAAGGTTTTTATTACAGACTAACTTTTTGTCATTACTTTTTACACGTGGATTTCTGAAGTTGAACAACCAATCTCACGCGATAATATAGGTTACTATAGGAATTAGTTTCTATTGCGCGCGCATCCCCGCGTGCTTCCCCTTGAAGAGTGGGCGGGCGCTTAACATCAGGCGCCTGCTCCATATTGGAGTCGGGGCCCGCAAGCCGGTGCGGGACTCGGTGGACTACGATAGGGAACCCGGGTCCCCAACATTATGGCGCGGCGAGGGATGCCGTGGTGGTTTTAGCCGGTAGGAGTCCGGCAGTACCCATACGCCTCCCTCGGGGCGTTTGGGTCTGCATGATGCATTTCCACACGAATAAAAAAAAAAGGAATTAGTTTCTATAGGGATTTATTTAAAGTATAAAAAAAAAATATGAGAAAACCAGTGGACGTGTTTGATTTTTATCCTCTGAATTCGAGTGACCGTGTCCCCCCTCTAAAATTTGCCACTCCAAGGACGATGCCGCCCCTAGGCCGCGGCTTATATGGCCTATTTATAAATCCAGGACTGCTTGGCAGGCGGATGATAACCGCAGTTAGGCTTTGGAGATGTTTTAAGAGGGACGCTACTGCCCATCCCTCGTCCTTCCTTAGTCGCCTCTTACGACACTCACGGGAAAGAAAAAGGTGGCCTATTCTATGCCGGGACCGACCAATATTATAAATAAGAAAGTAAAATTGTTTGTTACTTCTTAACACCTTAACGGCTTAACCAATCACTATGAAATTTAGTATACAAATAGTATACGGGTTGGAGACTATACCTATTCAGTCAACATACCCCGGCCACGCAGGCGAAGTCGCGTCTAAAAGCAAGCGTATCATAAAAATCCTTAAATCGCTTTGTCTCTCAAGCCACGTCCGCGCTATGCTCCTATTGAGTTGGCCTCAATGAACGGGTTGCTATAGTAATTATCTCCCAGATTAAAGCCGCAGCCTGCGGTCCACGATCCGGGTCAATTTCATAAGCGGTCACCGGTGATCTAAGCCGGCAAGAATCTCCTACCTGATACGGGATTGTTTCGAGACTCGGTAAAAGTGCTAAACTTTCGCTCGCGTGTCTTTGTTTCGTAGTATTTTTAACTAACTTTAAAAAAGAAGGAAGTGCTTAATTTGGTGGTATTATTTTTTTAAATCTGTTACCTTCCAACTCCGTCAGTCCGTAAAAGTTGCGAGTCGATTTAGAATTTTTTTTTTATTTTATTTTTATTTAAAAACTAAGCAACAAAACTGACTATGACAAAATTTCTATGCGAAAATATATCCTTTCAGATAAAAAAAAAGTATTTTCCAAATCCAGTACATATTAGACTGCTTTATGAGAGCGGGAGACTTTGTACAAAAGTCGTTTGCTTGGGCACCTCTGTCCCATTCGGGTTTCTACCGTGAAGCGGTTGTGTTTGCATGGCTGTGTTTCGGTTTGAAGGGTGGGATATGGCGTGAATTTACAGGGTACAGAGAAATAACACCTGAGTCCTCAGGAATGGCAACGTATGGGGGGATATCATAGGCGAAACAGTACTCTTTTATGTGCATGATACTGCTCATGTCTATAGGCGACGGTTACCACTTTCGATTAGGTGGGCCGTCAGCTTGTTTGCCATTCTAAGTAGCATAAAAAATAAAAATAAAACAATAAAATATAAAAAAATACAATCGAAAAAATCAATAAAAAAGAAACCTATTTCTTTTCAAAATCGATTGAAAAAAGTGGAATAGGCTTGCCAGCGGTACAAATATAGTTATCGCGGATAAACCGGTCCGCTAGATCGATTCCAGTTTGAAGAATTAGGATTTTATTTTATATATCCATGTTCAACGGTATTGAACTTCTCAAGGTCAAAAAACTGTCTGAAGTTACTAAGGAGGTTTTTTTTTCTTTAGAGTCGGAATGGGAAATATACGACATAGCTAATGAATTGCTTATAATTTGTTGTAATAAAATTTAGTGAAAACGTGATCATTTGTTGAAATCTTCAAAAGGGGGTAAAGAGGTTTCTTCAGGGTCGGCAACGCGCGCGTAATACCTCTGGTATTGCAGGTGTTCATAGGCTACGGTAACCGCTTACCATCAGGAGGACCGTATGCTTGTTTGCCACCTCAGTGGTATAAAAAAAATATTACAGTAACTAATGAAATTAGTAACAAATCGAAACATCTAATCAATTAAATTTATTTTCTATTTGTACTTTTAGATTATATAGACAGTGTCTCCATACAAATGCTTCGAGAAAAGTGGGTCAACTTTTTCATACAATTTTACGTGATAAATACTTATGAATGATTCCTTTACAACTTCTATATTTATTTTGTTTTATAATTTTTGCATATTTTTAACGTGTAAAACTTAATTTTATTTATTTAATAATTAAATATAGATACGTCGAGATACATTATGTGAACACTGATAAAAAAAAAACGAGTCAGCTAATTTGACAATTAACTGACAGAAAGTTGACCCGTTTCGAGACTCAATGCTCTATCTATAATAATCAAAGAAAGAAATCAGCTTCTTGTCGTATTACTCGACGTAATACGACAGGAAGCTCGTTCAGCTGATTGCATGTTTTTATTGTTATAATTATAAATTCCATTTAGGGACAATACCAATTTATACGGATTCCATCCAGCTACGTGCAACAACTGTAATTCAAGTAGCGTTGTCATTTAGAATAGGTCATTGTATTTAATTACATACATTAATGTCCATAGGACAGTTCCCGCGCGTTACCGACTGTAGAGGCATAGACAAAACAATAATAGTTCGAACTTTTTTTATATGGTTAAGGAAATGTTTTGAAACGATTATTTTAAATCTTTGATTTTAATCTAGCTACACTTTCAACTTGCTATATATTTTAAAATCTAATCTACACAAGCTTTTGCCCGCGGCTTTGAGTGATGACGTATTTCCCGTATTTTCAATAATCTTTTTTATTTATTCAATTAACTCTTTATTGCACCAGAAACATAAAAATAAACAATAACATATAAACAATTCAAATGAAATACAGTAGCGAAAAGTACAGATTAAAATATACACATAAGGGTACAGAAGGCGATCTTATTGCTAGGATAATCTCTTACTTATCGTTAGTAATATTATAAATGTGAAAGTGGAGATCACCACGTGGTGGTCGACCTAACAGGGTATATTGCTAGCAATAAGATTGGTTGTATAGGTACTAGCGCTATATTTCGAACAGAAAATATTTGTTAACAACATTCCTATTTGCAAACTTGGTAGACACTCGTACATTAATCTTGTAAACAAACACGTTTTTGCGCTATGGGGTAAAAAAAATCTACATCCCGGTTATTTTTGTGTTCGCGCCCTTCTTATACTCTGTTAAGAATTCCATTTGCCTATTATTTGACTACTAATCTTAGATTCGACTAGACGACGTACTCTAAAATGATACCACTTTTATAGTTCCACTAGTGTTTTTTATATTTATTTACATAACAAAGTTATAGTTATAAGACATTACATGAAGAAATACAAGAATGGTATGCTAAAATTCAAATCATTCTTTTTTAAATATACTATATGGCTTCTTTCCAGCCATGACCACGACTGTTATGCTGTATATTTTTTTTTTTAATTAAGTTCTCTATTTTAAAATCTCTATATTCTGTGTTCAATTAGAAACTGAATTAGTCATTTTCTGCGTAAATATCTTACACAAGTCGGTGTAAATTGGTATTCTAACAGTATGTAGCTAATTATGTCCACTGAACAGTGGTTCTTCACCACCATTAGGGCCCAGACTCAATCATGGTCGAATCAATTAAAAAAAAAAAATTACTTAAATGTTACGTAACTTTGTGAATAAACGTATAGTATTTTCTGTTTAATTAAATTCGACTCTACAAATTCGAAATAATTTCTAACCTATAAAAAAAAGAAAAACATAAAAATAATAAATAAAAATTTTTAATTCCTATTTTTTATCTACAGGCATATTGCTGTTTTAATTTCCTGACTTCATCTAACACAAATAGGATAAACTATATTTTCACCGCATAAGAAAGCTTGATTACACGAGTGTCACCGCGGCGCGGGAGCGGTCATTGCCTTCCCAGGCATTTCCCAACTTGTCTCACAACTTGCAGAGGCGTTAATTAAACTCACCTTGATTATTGTTCCTTCTCCTCCAAACGCGATGAAACTTATTCAAAAAAAAAAAAGAATAAAAAATTCAGTAAATTTCCTACTTTATTGTCTATGCCAATATTTTCGAATTTAAAAATGTATTTTTTTTATTTCTTTTTTATTTAAATTTATTCATTGAAAAGATATTTTTATTTTTTTTAAATTTATGCTTAAATTTTTTTTAAATGTGCTTTATATAAAGGACTATTGGAAAGTCATGTGTTGTTTTTTATTTCGAGCAGTATTGCAGGAATATGTACCAACGAGCACTCCCGCGCAAGCCGGCGCCAAACTAGTTTGGTTCGGTGCCCATAGTTGCATTCGTTTACATGCGTTAAATAGACAGAGAGGGGTATACGATTCCTTTTTTATTCCTTTAAAGTTTGGATTGCTTTGCCGTTCACGGTAACTATAGTTCTGATAACCAGCCACGCTTATATGAATCACTAATGTCGACGAATTGACACTTAGTATTCACAGCAGGCTGTGAATTTGTTGTAAGTATTATACTGGCCAACTTGCCAGACTTTGTTCAAATCGTTTAATACTACACCACTACTTCACGTTTAAGAAGTACTTTAAAATGAATAATGGAAGAATTGGTAATTTTTCCATAGGTACCATAATATCATGCTTAAAATTTGTTCGGTATGATAGATGCGAGTAAAGTATACTTAATTATCTTAGTTACATATCATACAAAAATTAACAGACACTTCTGAATAATTCTGCAACCACTCACTTTCATGCTAACCATTTACCATCAGGCGGGCTATATGCCAGTTTGCTATTCTTAAGACAGATAAATATAAAAGTTAAACCTAAATAAAATTGTCATTTTTTGATGAGACTTTATTTATTATTAACTAGATGACTCGGTGCAACGAATTTCGTAACATCTACATGGCCATCTATTAAAAATAGTCCGATTCCCATACAAAATTACTTATTTTCAATTTTTAGGTTTTTTTAGCTAATCTATATAACAAATTCAAATAAAAACAGAAAAAAACATATTCAAATCGGTCAAACTTTTTTTATTATTTTAGTGTAATTAACGAACATCAATTGATTTTTCTAGACAGATTTAAATAAATATAACTTTTATACTTATTTATAGCTGTATAGTGTTAGTTGTCTTTGACAAAAAGTTTGGGCTAAAGAAAGCCTTTAAAAAAAATTAATGTCAGTGACGTCACGTCAACGTGAATTTGACATTTTGTCATAACCTCTAAAAAGTACCTCTTTATTGTTATTGTTGTGTTTTTCTAAAAATAATAATCAAAATGAGTGAAGAAACAGTTGATAATAATCCTAATAAGAAGAGAATAAGAAAGAAACGTAAAAATTTCCTAGCCAATGCTAAGAAATACGCAAAAAAGGGACAAATGGGCCGCGGGACCAGGATGTCGGAGGAACTGTATCAATACTTCGTCGGTATATTAGAAGTGATGAAACAGGGCAGTGAGGATTACGAGGAAAGAGGTAAATCACAATACTTTTATCATAGCAGAAGATTTTCATTTATATATATTTACTTCGTCTGCATGTGTTTTCGTTCGTCGTTGCTTTTATAATCGATTTATTAAGCTTGTTGATATATTGCCTTTAGATATTCGCATTATGGGCCAAGGATTAAGAAAAATTTTGATGATTTTATCGGTGTCCCAATAATTCTATAATTTTATGGATACCTGAACTGAATGGCCACCATAGAAACTTTGTAATAAAACAACGCAACCCTATTGATCTTGGACCCTTTTGATTTAATTTATGAGGATGGGTAGTAAGCTGACAGATATTGGATAGGATCTAATATCGAACGAGCTTGAAGATCCTAACAATATCTACATATAAAATATTTGGATGTTTAATTAAAAAGAATTGTTAATTTCTATTGTCAGGTCTTGGTGTGGTAACAAAATAAAAATAATGGCATCATTCCTTTTCACCTTGCATAAAAAAGTTGTAATAATAACTTTTAAAGCTTATTGATACTTAAAATTTTTTTACTATTTGAATATTGAAAAATGTACATTAAAAACTTTTTTAAATAATAAATTTCAGCATCTCTAGTAAACAATGTCCTAGAACGTACCAAAGGGGAAGAATTAAACATAGTCGGCAACCAGCTCGGTTGTAGAGTGGTTGAAATACTCCTACCATACTCCTCTGCAGAAGATCTGGAACGGTTCATTGAAATACTATCACCGGAACTCCGTAGATTATGTTCTGACAATTTCTCAAGTCATGTCATCGAGACAATGCTCCGAGTGTCCTGTGGCCGTGCAACTGAACATTTACAAATGAACGAAACTGAAGAAGAACCGAAGAAGAAGAAGAAGAAAACAGAATCTAAGTACAGCGAAGAACACATAAAGAATTGTTACGAATTCACATTAAAAATATGTAAATACGCACTCAATAATCTCGAGGACTTTGTATGGGATTCATACGCTAATCATATACTGAGAAGTGCTTTGAAATGTTTAAGTGGAATTACACTTTTACCAGGAGAGAAGCCGAAAGTTAACCTTTTTAGAGAGACCGTCCAAACTGACAAGGGTATTCCTCCACATCAAACAGAAATGCAGTATAAGAACGTGCCAGATGAGTTTAAAGATTTAGTCAGAGAATTCGCCAGCAGGCTCTCAGCTTGGCCTCAGTTTAAAGATCTACCGTACCAGAACTTAACATCTGCGTTATTGCAAGTGTTGTTATATTCTATTAAGAATGTAGATAAAAGCCTTACAAAGGAGTTGCTAAAGAAGTTATTGAATGAAAGCTTCGCTCCCGAAGACTGGGTGACATCTGGTGCTGATGAAGAGAAGGAGGAAGAGAAAGTTGACGATAAAGAAGAAGTAAAAACGAATGGTGTTACAACTGGAAGTTTGCCACCAGTATTTGAGAATCAATCTGCTGTGAGGTAGGTATTATTATTTTAATAATTATTTTTTTATATATAATAATCAATTTTGTAAACTCATAGTGAACACCTGAATATCCAGAGCAAAATTACCACAAGGGCAGGAGCTTCATCATATAATTTGCATAAATAATTTTTTTTTTTATACAACTTAGAATGGCAAACAAGCTGACGGCCCACCTAATGGAAAGTGGTAATCGTCGCCTATAGGCATAAGCAGTACCATGGACATAATAGAAATATGTCCTATATTTTAAATACACAATTGAGACTTGACAGGATGAAAATAGCTTTTACAGGTAAATAGTACTTACATACCTGTCTCTTTATTGCCAATGTTTCGATGTGGATTGCACCATGTCCTGGTCATGACTGGACTGCAGTGAGCGGCGTCATCTGGCAGCTCGCGCAGTCGTTTCGTCCTTTTAGCTTGTTTGTTACTCCAAGATGAATAATAATAACAGTATATAATATTACATTACAGGTTATTAGAAGCAGCATTATTTGTAGCTAAGAAAAAGATGTACACGCAAATATATGCTCGTTGCTTCATCAACAGACTGGGCCAACTTTCCACAGTTCCAATGCTCAACTTCACTGTCCAACGGCTCATAGACAACTGTCAGATAAAAGAAGAGGTAGGTAAATATATAGATACTTGGGGGGAAAGGGATTGTTAGTAATGTGTGGAAAGGATGAGTGGCGGTCTTCCACCGTGCGTTTTTCAAGGCACTTTCTTCCACGCACAACCATTCTTTGGAATCAACTTCCAGCAGCAGTATTTCCGAACCGATACGACAACATAACCTTCAAGAAAAGAGTATATTCCTTTTTAAAAGGCCGGCAGCACACCTGCAATGCCGCTGGTGTTGTGGGTGATCATGGGCGGCGGTAGTCACTTACCATCAGGTGAGCCGCATGCTCGTTTGCCCCCGTTGTAAAAAAAAAATGTGATCTAGAAGTTCCATTGCTAGCAGTATAGCCTATCAGTCAGAGGTCGACCTCCACGTGGTTCCCCCTGGAAACCATCGTGGTTAATTCTCATGGAATTCTTCACGATGGGCTAACTAACCTGCTTTTACCCACACCTATCACCTCTTACTGGTACCCCGTCAGTGTATACCGATCACGTCGACCCATATGGATCTTTTGTGCTTCTACCATCATTTCATAGATCCTATGTGTTACCCTAATGATATCCCGCGGTTTAAGATATCTGTAGTCCCCTGGTTCTGGATAAGTCGTTCCCAGTAGACTCATACTTGCCAACGAATCGCAGTTGCACATCAAGTGTTCCATGGATTCCGGTTTCTCCCCGCACAGTCTGCACAGTGTGTCCGAAGATAGACCCATCTTGTGTAGTATATGCCTTATTGGCATATGTCCAGTTAGGGCACCCATAATGAGTCTTGCCTGTTGTCTGCCACCGCTGTAGATGAGTTTATCCCATCCCTCAACATTGTCATTTAAGAACTTTTTAGGTTGTCTAAGACCCTTCAAAGTCCTCCATTTCTTTTGCTATTTTTTCCTCACATACTCTCCAAGGGCATAGTTAACAATACTTGATGCAAGTGCAACGTATGGTTCAGGACCTACCATAGTGTATACCGATAGCGCAGGCAAAATAGAAAAGTATAAATTGAACATTTCAGTTGGAGCCAATGTTCGACGAGCTGTCGAGCAAGTTCGACGCGATACTGGCGAGCGGCAACACGGGCGTACTCGTCGCGCTCGCGAAGGCTTGCCTCAGGATCAAAGCTAAACAGATACAGTTCATCAACGTTAGTATGGTATTATATAGTATTTCTTTTACTGGAATGGAAGGTAGTGGTAAAAAGAACAATGTCACGATCCGAGTAGTGCAGGACTAAAGTTAGAAAAATATGAATTATATTTTTTTTTATTAATTCCAAATTTTTTAAGCATTCTCTCTATTATTGTTTTCTCTCTAACTACTGGGTTGGCTGGAAGAGATATCTTTTAGAGATAAGCCCTCCCTTGCTGACAAGTTGTTAAAATATTTGCTATATCTATTGTTCAAGTGTATAGATTCATTCATAGATATGAAAAAAAAAAGGGGGTAGCCGTACGAATAACATCAAAGTTAACTAGGTCCGTAATATTTTAATTATTTATATAGTTTAATTTTATCTATTCTATGTTTTAAACAAGGAATTGTGTAATTTACTAGCTCTGTAACACTTTGGATTATTAATTCCCTAAATACTCTCACTTTCAAAAAGAAAAGAAAAGAAGAAAGCTTGATACTATTAATATGGATCTGTATGCAAAATTGAGTTCTAACATGGAGGCCATTGTTGACTTATTTAACTCGCGGATGGAGCAAATGGAGCGAAATATTCAGGAGCAGCAAACATCCAAACCCTCGCAGTCAAATCTCGAAACCTTGACACGTGAGTTCTATGATTTTAAGCAGCTTATTTGGAAATCAGTTGCAATGTTGAAAAACCAAATGGAGCTTATGCTGATAAGTCTGGACCGTCATGAAATGTCCTCTAGAAGAAAGGTCTTATTATTGCATGGTATTCCCGAAAATACAGATGAAGATGCTAAAACTTTGGTTACAAAAGTCTTCACGGAACAATTAAAAATGACGTCAGATTGTATCACTAATATATCTGTTGTTCATCGGCTTGGTTTTGGGCAAACTAAAGCAAGGCCTATATTGGTGCGTTTTATGAGTTATGCTATCCGTAGTCAAGTTTGGAAAAGTAAGACTCTTTTAAAGGGGACGCAGGTCACGATGTCTGAATTCTTGACAAAATCAAGGTATGACACATTTAAGGCAGCCAGAGCACATTTTGGAATTAAGAACTGTTGGACTTCTGATGGCAAAATCGTAATATTATTATCTAATAAGACGCGTCGCAAGATCGAACAAATGAGTGAGTTTCGTCTGTTAAGTACACAGTATCCAACAAAAGAAATAAACACGAAAGCCGCGGCGGCCCCGATGAAGTCGGCTAGGGGAGCTTTGGCCTCCACCAGACTAAATAATTAGTCAATCTGACTCAGTATATAGTGCTTCAGCGGAGTATCTTTTTCTGGAATTGTGTATCCATCATTCGAAAATCTTACTTGGCGTATATTATAGTCCATCTCTTCGTGTGGACTACTTTCAGTCTTTTGAGGCTCTTCTGGAATCACTTTGTCCCATATACAATGAAACTATTATTCTTGGTGATTTTAACACCTGCTTACTCAAAAATGACTCACGTTCTTTAAGATTGTGCTCTATTGCTTCCTCTCTTAATCTTCATCTCCTTCCACTTCAACCTACACACTCGCCTCCAAACAGTGCGCCTACACTTCTCGACCTCATGATTGTATCAGATCCTGATAAGGTTACTACTTTCGGTCAGTTTTGTGCACCTTTCTCCTATCATGATCTAATCTATCTGTCCTACAAAATTCGTATGCCTAAGCCGAGAGTAAAATTTCTTGAGCTTCGAAATTTTAGGGAAATTGATTCGGAGAAATTACGGAGTGATTTTGGCAGGATTGATTGGTTCATACTTTATGATTTAAATACTATTGATGAAAAAGTCACATATCTTAATCAAACGTTAAATAATCTGTTCGATAAACATGCTCCTATCCGAAAAGTTAGAGTGAAGCATCTACCGGCCCCGTGGTTGTCACAAAACATACGCAATATAATGGCAAAACGTGATCAGGCTAAACGTAGGTATAAAAAGAATCACTCCATCGAAAATTTAAATAAATATAAGAGGTTGCGAAACCGAAGTAATCGAATGTGCAGAGATGCTAAGAGACGCTACTTTCATGAATCAGCTGAAAGTCTTAAGCCAGCTCAACTCTGGAAACTCCTAAGAACACAAGGGATTGGTAAATGTTTAAACTCGTGTCCAGTTAATTTAGATAGCAACGCATTGAATAGTCATTTTTCGACGCCTCCGGTAATTATGGAGGACCATATTAAAAAGACTACTCTTGGAGAACTCAAAAACTTGCCTAAACCCAATTGTAAACCATTTTCTTTCCTAGCTATTACTACGTGTGATATTAAAAAATCAATCTTGTCTATTACTTCCAAAGCAGTTGGTGATGACAAAATCTGTATTCAGATGCTTCGTCTTCTCTTAGATGAGCTTGCACCGATTCTTTCTCACATATTAAATTATTCTCTGGAAACAGGTTCGTTTCCTGCTGCCTGGAAAAAAGCCTACGTTATTCCGCTTCCCAAAACCAACAATCCCACGTACCTTTCCGAGTATCGTCCTATTTCTATCTTACCTGTTCTATCTAAAGTACTTGAAAATCTAGTTTACGATCAATTGTCATCTTATCTTTTTAAAAATAAACTCCTTACTCCTTTTCAGTCTGGGTTTCGTACAGCTCACAGTACTGTCACTGCACTACTAAAAGTTACTGAGGATATTCGTCTTGCTAAGGATAGGAAACAGCTATGTATTCTCACTTTACTCGACTTTAGTAGTGCCTTTAATTCAATAGATTTTGATATCCTTCTCGGTATCCTTGACTCACTTAATATATCTCCACTGGTAATAGCATGGTTTAATTCTTATCTTGTGGGGCGTATGCAGTGTGTTCGGTCGGATGAAACCAGCTCCGACTGGTGTGGTCTTGTTGCCGGCGTTCCACAGGGTGGCGTCCTGTCACCACTTCTATTTTCTATTTTCATTAATTCCTTGGCAGGACGTTTTTCATCCTACTTCCATCTATACGCAGATGACTTGCAGCTGTACAGTTTTTTTGACATTTGTGATATCGGTACTGCTATAGACTTGATTAATCATGATCTGGTAAACATTTCAAGATGGGCAAATGCATATGGTCTATTAGTGAATCCAACAAAATCACAAGTTATTATTATCGGAAGCAGATACATGACAGATTTATTAGATCGTATGACTGTTCCACCTGTGGTGTATGAGGGGACAATAATATCATATACAAATGTCGTTAAAAATCTGGGCGTACTTTTTGACAGAAATCTTTCCTGGACGTCTCACGTAAACCAGATAAGTAAAAAAGTACATGCGACTGTTCACTCACTCAGACGTCTACAAAATTTTCTACCTATTAAAACAAAGGTCAATTTAGCCCAAACATTATTATTTCCCCTTATGGATTATGCAGATGTATGTTTTCTTGACGCCACTTCAGAGTTATTTTCTAAAATTGACCGTCTACAAAATTTATGCATTCGTTTCGTTTATGGTTTGCGTAAGTTTGATCATGTCTCCAAATATCGAAAAGAATTGAAATGGTTACCTTCACGTTTTCGATTGAATGTCCATATACTGACGCTTCTTTACAATATCTTGCATAATCCCTCCATTCCTTGTTATCTCCGCGAGCGTTATGAATATTTATATTCAAGAGATAAACCACTTCGCCCTCAGACACGATTACTTCTAAGAACTCCACCACATCATACTCAGGCTTTTGGGAATTCCTTTACAGTTATATCCATTCGACTATGGAATAGTCTGCCATCCGAAATAAGGGAATCGGCAAGTATAGGCATGTTTAAGCGTCGTCTAAGAGAGCATTACTTATCACTATGCTGACGTATTATGTATATGTGTATGTATATTTATATATGTTTATATGTGTATATATATGTATGTGTATATGTATGTTTGTGTAAATATATGTGTATGTTTACAGGGTATTTTATGTAATTTATAATGTGTAGTTTGTATTATTCTTTGTGTATACATAACTTATGCGTTTATGCAATATATGCAGATCGTATGACTGCCTATTTTTATTTATAAAATAACACATTAACATGGAAAGGTTTTGCTGGAAGAAATCTCTTATTAGAGATAAGCTCGCCTTTGTACATTATGTTTATAATGAATTGTAATTACCAGTATGTTTTGTGTACAATAAAGAATAAAGAATAAAGAATAGATTCTTTATTGCATTTATATATTCTTTTTTGGAATCTCTGGGGTTTACTCCTGTCAATCAATCAATCATTTATTTATAAAAATATTACAATATACATGAAACAGATGATCTGTTTTTTGTAATGGATGAAATGAAATAGTGACCCATCTGCGCTAACGGTGTATGCTGATGGGGTACCAATGAAGGCGATACAGATGGTAGATCATATAGCAGTAACCATTGCTTTGGATTTGATATCAGTGTCAACAGTTATACCCTATCGGGCAGGGGGGAAAAGGATTGTTAGCAATGGAGTTTGACAGCCCCATTGCTAGCAATATGCTCTATCAGGTCGACTTCCACGTGGCTCCCCCTGGAAACCATCGTAAACAATTCTTGTTGAATTCGTCACGATGGGCCAACTGACCTGCTTCATCCTCACGTATCATCCTTCACTGGTTCCCCGCCGGTGTATACCGATAGCGCGGGTGTAGTTACCATTCCATTATCATCCATTTAAAAAAAAACCCTGTCGGACATGCAACAATTTAAGAACAGGTAATTAGCTAGCAATTACATTAACATTGAAACATTCAAATACTATTACCATTACTTGATTGCAAATAAATATGAAATATTTGACAATACAATTAATATAACAAAGAATAATCATTTAATCACCAAATTAAAATAAAATAGACATAATTTCTCTTATATGTCAATTATTATTAATTTAATGAGTTTTAACGTCAAAGTATTAATTTAATCAAGTATGACATCTATTGGCAAACCCCCCCTTAGGGGGGAGGCCTATATTCAGTAGTTGACATTTTACAGCTGATATGATGATAATTATTATATGGTTGGTCTCTACGAATGGAATGTTGAAGTCGCCAATTTTCTTTGTAGAGCAAAAATCTTTGTTTTCAAGAATGGCAGCAAATTAGGGGTACCGCGAGCGACACAAAGATATCCCTAATGCTGTGCATGTGTATAGGCTACTGTTACCTTTTACCATCAGGTAAACAGATTGTTTACCATTTTTTTGTTTCTTTTTCTAGCCTGATAATTGGTAATCTGTTCCTTATAGAACAATAATCCAATCTGCTGTTTGGATGTCAAGTTTAAATCTTGTTAATATACGATGAGGCCAATCTATTAACCAGCTCTCAGTCTCTGTCTGTAAATCTTTCTATCAGTCCTTGGATGCTGTGTCTTTTTAATTGAGAGAAACGAATGCTTCCCGATCCCTGTAATTGATCGGCCAATTTATTTTTATGGCTGTTCAGTCTGGACTGATAGTTTTTGCTGAATGTCTCGATTTCCTATTTTATCGTTTTCAGTTTGATGTCCATATATTTTCCATTTTGAGTATCATAAAAATTTACTTTTCGTTTTACAGAGCCTAGAGTCAGTACTGATTGCTAAGGAGGAGCATCAGAGGTACTTCGCGGTGCTGTGCCTGCGGTTGCTGCCAGCTGACCGCGTGCAGCTGGACAACTTGGACAAAGAGTACTTCATCAACGTTCATGGCTCCGTCATACTGCAGTGTATACTCGAGTACCAGGTACAGTTGGATATTGGGAGTTGTTTCTTTAATGAATGATGATGGAATGGTAAGGCGAGCTGCGCTACCGGTACACACTGGCGGGGCACCAGTGAAGGATAATAGGTGAGGACGAAGCAGGTCAGTTAGCCCATCGTGACGAATTCAACAAGAATTCACGATGGTTTCTAGGGGGAACCACGTGGAGGTCGAACTAATAGGACATATTGCTAGCAATGGGGCTGTCAAACTCCATTGCTAACAATCCCTTTCCCCCCACCAGGTACAGCTGGATATTGGGAGTTATTTCTTTAATTAATGATACTGGCTGGGATACCAGTAAGATATGATAGGTGAGGATGAAAGCATGTCAGAAAAAATTGACCACAAGACAAACAAGCCAGTGGTCCACTGAATGATAATTTTTTTTTATACGACTCAGAATGACAAACAAACTGACGGCCCACCTGATGGAAAGTGGTAACCGTCGCCTATAGACATGAGCAGTACCATGGACATAACAGAGTATACTGTTTCGCCCATGATACCCCCCATGCGTTGCTATTCCTGAGGACTCAGGAGATAAGCTGTTACCATACCATAGCCTATGAACACCTGCAATACCTGGGGTATAGGCCAACTCTGAAGTAACCTTTTAACCCTATTTTTGAAGAACCACATGCTGTAGTCTCTTGGGGAAACCTTGACAAGGAGCTCACTTCATAAGCTGAGGATTTGTGGAAGGAAGCATCTCTGAGACTACGCTGTACATGACCATCCAGGCTTAATGCATGTGTCTACCATAGACATGAACCATGATCACCAATAGATTGATGGGACATAGTAGTTTACTTAAATAATCTTTTTTATTATCTTAATGTAATGGGTACCCCCATCTGTTATATGGTTCTCCAAATTTGAAGGTTTTCCAAACTCAATACATTTTTCATTTTTCGAAGAAAAATTTGCATTGCTTGTATGCTACCTACATTATTATTTTTACTTCCAGCGACCCGCAAAAGCGGTAACGAGCCTCCTAGAGCTGACCCCCGAGGAGTTGCTGGTCATCTTCACGGACGCGAAGGGTTGCCACGTGGCCGACGCCTTCTGCAAGAGCCAGTGTGTTGGAGTGAAGTCCAGGGATAAACTTGTGTGGAAACTAAAGGTAGGCAACACATTTAATCCGCGGGAGTCTTTGTACAATAGTCGTTTGCGTGGGTACCTTTGTCCCATTCTTGTTTCTACCACCAAAAAGTTGTGTTTTTTTACTGGATGATAATGGAATAGCAACCCTACCCTCGTTATTGGCACACACCGTCGGGCTACCAGATGATGTAAACAGAAGGCCTACCATGAAATGTTTTCCGAAATTTCGGAGCCAAACGAAACACAAATTTGATGTTAAAATTACATAATACATGCCGTTTGGAAATATTAAAAATATTGAAATATTGTTCCTTTGGACTTTTATGATAGGATGTGTGACGAACGAAATGTTAAACTCCATTTATTGGTCCGATTTTAGTATTCGCCATTTTACTTACATTTCAGGGATTCTACCAAAAGCTGGCCCTATCTCAGTACGGTTCGCGCGCGTTCGAGCAAATCTACGGCGCGGCGTCCAACGAGCAGAGGATCAAAATAATGCTCGAGATATCGGACAAGAGCAGCCTGCTGAACGGCTCGCAGTACGGACGCTTGCTCGCCAACAAGCTAGGCGTCGACACGTTCAAACTGTCCCAGAAGAAGTGGGAGCAAGCGCATTTGAAGACTGATAATAAATGTTTGTAATTGTTTGGTTTTTTTCTTTATTCTTTATTGTATACAAAATAGAATGTTAAGCACAATTCATAATGTACAAAGGCGAGCTTATCTCTAATAAGAGATTTGTTCCAGCAAAACCTTTTCATGTAAATTGGATGTTATTTTAAAAATAAAAATAGGCAGCCATACGATCTGCGTACATTGTATGAACACATAAGACATGTATACACAAAGAATAATACAAACTACACATTATAAATTACATAAAATACATAAACCCTGTAAACATACACATATATACACATTCATATATATACACACATAAATATACATACACATATACATAATACGTCAGCATAGGGGGAAAGGGATTGTTAGTAATAGAGACTGAGAATCCCATTGCTAGCAATATACCCAACCAAGTCGACCTCCTCGCGGTTCCCCCTGGAAACTATCATGGTTAATTCCTGATGCATTCATCATGATGGGCCAACTGGCCTGTTTTCATTCTCATCTATCACCCTTCACTGGTGCTCCGCCAGCGTATCCCGTTAGCGCAGGCGGGGTTACCATACCATTTTCACCCACCAAAAAAAAATACGTCAGCATAGTAACAAGTAATGCTCCCTTAGACGACGCTTAAACATGCCTTTACTTGTTGATTCCCTTATTTCGGATGGCAGACTATTCCATAGTCGAATGGGTATAAAAGGAATTCCCAAAAGCCTGAGTATGATGTGGTGGAGTTCTTAGAATTGTCTGAGGGCTAAGTGGTTTGTCTTTTGAATATAAATATTCATTAATCTTTTTTTTTATTATTTTAACCGACTTCAAACAGAAGAGAGCTCTTTCTCAATTCCGATGTATTTTTTTATATTTGTTTGTTACCTCATACTCCGTCAGTTGTTAACCGATTTGAAAAAATCTTATTTTATTTGACAAGGTATACTTACAGATTGATCCCATACATTTTTTTTTTATCAAAATCCTTTGTGTTGTTTAGTTTTAAATCAATATAACCGGTTCATACACACACCGGAGGGAGACTGTACAAAAGTCGATTGCTCGTGTACCTCTGTCCCATTCGTGTTTCTACCGTGAAGCAGTTGTGTTTGGCTGTGTTTCGGTTTGAAGGGTGGGATATGGCAGTGAATTTACTGGGTACAGAGGAATAACACCTGAGTCCTCAGGAATGGCAACGCATGCGGGGCATCATAGGCGAAATAGTATACTCTGTTATGTCCATGGTACTGCTCATGTCTATAGGCGACGGTTACCACTTTCCATCAGGTGGGCCGTCAGCTTATTTGACATTCTAAGTTGTATAAAAAAACATATATATAGGTATAGTTTCAACGAAACCTAATGAAAATGTAAACGAATAATTATCCTGACCATAAAACAAGTTCATGTTTATTAACCATGATAGTTTCCAGGGAGAACCGCGAGGAGGTCGACCTGGTTGGATATATTGCTAGCAATGGGATTTTTAATCTCCATTACTAACAATCCCTTTAGCCCCACCTGTCTCCCATTAGGATAGGTAGGAACAATGGAAACTTCTTTTTGAAAATTAATTCAAAATTTTTGTAATATTTTCCAAAAAGTCTTTTATTGATCAAGCCACCCGGTACTGGCACACTCCGTTGCAATTCTTGGGCACTTCCCCCGGCTTGAGCTTGCACATCTTGTCTCCACACACGTACTCGCCTTTTCTCGGATGTATCGTAGGTGGCGTGTGACCTACAAACAGAATTATTAATATACATTAATTTTACCTTAATAGAGGAACATATACAACAATACAATACCTAAAACATATATAACAGTAAACACAGCAGTAATATGAATCAGTGAAGTTTCCACAACAAACACATTTGTGGCAACCCTGTCTTTTTGACAGGAAATTTTTTTAAAAAAAAAAAAACATGGTGGTTGCTTTTATGTATACGGTGAAGGAAAATAATTATAATTGATTGAATTTATATATGTATGGTGTGGCGTTAAATATTATATCATTGACATAATATTAATAGTGCTTATATACCAACCACTTCGTCGTTTTATTGCACCTCAACCTTCCTGTGTAGCTTTTACCGGCGTATCAACTCGAAACATTAAATAAACGAGATATATATATATACATTATATTTATATTATTATATGTATCACATCTCCCATATTTAGAACTAACAAAATTTTTCATTGTGCCTCCCACCAAATTGTTTATAATTACTCCTCTCCATCAAAAGGTGATTATTTCTTGTAATTGTTTATATTTATAATAAGTTTACTATTGTAATCTTTTGGAGGAAACAATAAAGAGTATCTATCTATCTATCTATATATATATATATATTATTTTTTTCTCTGTAATCAAACCGAGATCCTCTCTAACGTATTTTTTTAATAAGTATAGATCTTCTCTGAATAAGTCTAAAGAGAGAAACTGCTGATTATGATAATTGCAGGCCCTTAAAAGAGAATTACTCATGTAATTCGTGAGTGAAAAAGATAGATAGATACTCTTTGTTGTTTCCCCCAAAAGATTACAATAGTAAACTTATTATAAATATAAACATTTACAAAGGTATACTGAATAACTTACTATGTTATGTACATTGTTTATATGTCATTGTTTATTTTTATCTTTTTACGGTGCAATAAAGAGTGAAATAAATAAATAAATATGTCTAGAATTCACCCGGGGAAACCTTATATAAGAATTACTCAACAGAGAAGGTGATTCAATAAAATTATTCATAATTTTGTTTGATTTAATTAGGATTAAATTGGCGCTCACCCCCTTTTACTGCATTTCGACTCCCTCCTTTAACATCTTGCGGGGAGCGTCTTTGTCTATGGTAGATATCCACTTTGGGTCGGTTGATGAGCTGTCTTTTGGGGTCTATGGGTGATGTAGATCCCATCCACGCCACGACTAGAACAAGCAGGACGAATATCTGGAAATTTTCACATTTTATACATTAGATGAAATATAGTGGAATAAAATTGTTATTGGTCCCGTGTGGTCCCGTCATAGAATAGGCCACCCCTTCCTTTCCCGTGGGTGTCGTAAGAGGCGACTGAGGGAGGGCGAGGGATGGGCAGCAGCGTCCCTCTTAAAACATTTGCAAAGTGTAACTGCGGTTGCCAGAGTGTATACTGTGACGCCTAAACTGTTGTTCATATCTATTGCAACGGTTACTTACCACCAAATGGGCCGTTAGCTTGCTCGCCATTCTAAATATCGTAAGGAAAAATTGTAATGAACGCCATTTACAAGATAAATAATGACATGTATGCATACGAGAAATTTCAAATTCCTCAACAAAATGTTTACAATAAGGTAATTATTACAATTATTAAAAATTTACAAAAAAAAAAAATTACAATAAAATACCAATTAACTTAAAAGGTGAGGATGATTCTAAAAAGTTTAAAATAGCGCTAAAAAAATATTTAATTACAAAAAGTTATTATACGCTACAGGAATTTTTCAATGAAAAAATTTTATTGTATTTGTACCTATTTGTTTTAATGTAATAATGTTTTATTTATTTTATGTTAATCGACGATGTATATATATATATATATATATATATAATGTAAAAATTTATTTATATACTTTATGAAATATTTATTAATGCGATTGCTGTGCCCTTCCAGGGTTCATGTTGATTCTATACTTTTAATAGCTTAAGACCTATATTGTTACAACATGAAATAACAATAAATGATTAAATTGAATTGAATATTATCTCTCTGCCAGCGATTCCTAAAGTGGACTCCGCGAATCTAGGGGTTCCGTAAAAAATTCATCAGCATTTCGAGAAATTATTTATACAGTCAAACAATTTCATACTTCACATTAAAAATTCTGGAAAAAGATAAAACGGTGGAAATTCCCATCATAACATTGAATGCCCAAAAATTATATAAAAGGACAAGTTCACGTTAAGTTGATCGTGTCTCGATACCTTTTTAATGTCCATTGCAGAAAAAAAAAACATAGCTGTCAAATTTATTTTATTAACAATTTGTCCTTTAATTTTGAACATGAATTATATCACCTTGATTTATTTCGCCAATAAAATAAAAATCATGCAAAGAAGGTTTAAAGAAAATTCTATAAAGAGTTATGCTTTTAAAATATTTCTAATAAAACCTTTTATTTTTTTATTAAAATTACAGTGATTTTCATTTGTAATCATTTGATATGTTGTTTCATAAAATAAAAGGTATTTGGTGGGCGTTCCATTTATTTTTGATGTAAATTTATATTGAAGCTTGGTATGGTTTTTTTTTTATAAAAACAACAGACAATATTTTGGTATCTTTATTTTTACTTAACAGTTCTTGTTGCATATATGGCATCCCTATCTCATTTATTTGTACATTGCAATTGTAGATGGCAACACTTTTAAAAATAAAAAGGTTACGTATGGACGAAAACTGCCTGCCCTGTCATATAGAACACTTCTTTTACATGATAATCTTTTTCTAAACGGACCACAGACAAGAGAGAGCACATACTAATAAAAAAAAAAAGGAGTTGCCACCTTCCAAAAATAAGACGCCCAATAAATATTTGTTACCACTCATGACCAATATATAAATATTTTTGGAACTTTATTGAATCAATAAACTTGATACTACAACAATCTTAAAAGTTTAGAAACCCCTGCTCTAAACAATACCTATCACAGTATTTTATTGTACATCGAATATCTAATTTAGTTTACAAATTATTTTATTTAAGGTCAAACAGATAAAAAAAAAACTAAATAAATATACCTAGGTAGCGTTTGTACATATCATTAGTTTACAGTTATATGTAAAATATTTGTAAATTAATGAAGTAAAGTTTTTGTACATACCAGAGTCCTCATTGTGAGGCGTATCTCGATTCTACACACTAGTGTTGGCCGCGAAGATTGTCTGCTAAATGGAAATAATTTGTTTACGACGAGATATGTCGATGCACTAATAAATCGATGTTACAGAGTAGCATTATATCGGTAGTTCAAATGCAGAAAAGACTTAGGAATAGGCATGGGCAATATGGACAATATGTATACCGGTGGGAGAGGGATTGTTGGCAATGGAGTTTGATAGCCCTATTGCTAACAATATGCCCTATTAGGTCAACCTCCACGTGGTTCCCCCTGGAAACCATCGTGAACGTGAATTCTTGTTGAATTCGTCACGATGGGCTAACTGACCTGCTTCGTCCTCACCTATTATCCTTCACTGGTGCCCCGCCGGTGTATACCGATAGCACGAGTGGGGCTACCATTCCAAATTAAAAAAAATTATGGATACCTATCTGATCTCTATATTCTGGTTTCTTCTAGACATTGATGATGGAAAGAGGTGATGACACATTTTGATTTCGCCCATACGAGTATCAGTCGGATATCTATTTACGAATATGTTAAAAGTCTGTTATCCAATATTATTTTTTGGGTAACAGATTTATAACGTGTTCGTTATTGCACCAGTATATACATATTATAACTAAAATATATAGGTATTGCTATATACTCATCCTTACAAGTACACATTCGGATTCATTCTAAGCTTATTCCTTCATATAATGTTTTAATTTGATAGCTTCGCAAAGTTATCGTTTTATGAGCCATCGTAAACTAAATTATATACAAATATATATATGTATTTTGAATGTAAATATATAAGTTACTTTGTATTTAGGTAAGCGTTTTTATTATTTTTAATATAAACAACTATACTGTTTTCTTTTCTTATTGTACGCACACTGTCCGCTGGTAATTAATGCTCCTTTCCACTCAGGGTTTGCTGGAAGAGAACTCTTACAGAGTTAAGCTCCTGCTAACCTGTTGTACATCTTTATTCAAAGTAAATTATAACAATTAAATTTTTGTATATAATAAAGTAAAAATAAATAAATAAATTTATAATAAGGTATACCTATATTTGATAAAAATTTAGTTCATATTGATCCTTAGAAGCAAGTTTTCATTGTTTTCATTGTTTTATATGCTTTATAAGTACCTCCTTTCCTTTCATTATATTGATTTCTAGGGTTTAGCGCTTTTTAGCTTGTATAAGTCTCACAAAAATTCTTTATTGCACCATAACATAATGTAATAACAACAAATAAAGAACAAAGTTATCAAAGGCGATATCTTAACTCTTTATTATTGATAAAAAAAAAGTGGTACAAAAAGCGGACTAAATGCTATAGACTAATATCTATGCAAAAATTATTGTGGATGTACTGAATATTTTTAGACTGTGGCACCAGTTGAACCCGTTTTGACCACCTTTCTGAGTCACCGCTGTGTTTTAATTGCCATACGTGATTCACAATAATGATTTTGTGCGTAATTGTAATCCAATAAGACATGAAAATGGTATTTCCTCGTATTTATTGAGCAGTACATTACTTGTACATTGTTGTACGGCCTAGACCTCGTGGCACTGCACGAGCTGTGTCATGGGCGTCACAGTTTATTCCTTGGGGTTTGATTTTGTTCATCTCTGTCAGGTAAATGACGATCATCCATCATTGTACATTGTATCTAAACGATGTCTGTACATCTATCTATCTATCCTATTTAAGAGCTGCGCTCTTGTCGGTGGAGCTCTTGCCACTCACTACGATTTTCCTCTTGATACGACACGACACCAACTCCTTCCTTGATCTGCCCGATGTAACTATGTCTCGGTCTCCCTCTCCCCCTCCTTCCTAAGATAGAAGGAATCTATCTTACCTTCTATTATAATGTTCATAAGTTCGTCGTGTCGTATCAAGTGTCCCAACATTTTTCCCCTTCTGTCCTCAATAGTTCTAATAATTTGTCTTTTTTCCTTAACCCTAAGCAGGACCTCCTCATTGCTAATTCGATCCCTCCAGCTAATTTTCTCCATCCTTTTCCAGCACCACATTTCAAAGGCTCCAAGTTTATCCATTTTCTTCTGAGTTAATGTCCACGTCTCACATCCATACAGAGCTATACTCCAGATATAGGTTTTGTTAAGCCGCTTTCTAATATCTTTTGTTATCTTAACCTGTAAAAGTTGCTTTTTGTTATTGAAGGTTTGCTTGGCCGTGGCTATTCTCGTGACTACGTCCGGAGTACATCTGGAATCACACGTGATTAAACTGCCTAAATATTTAAATGTATTTACTTGTTCTAATTGAGTATTGTTAATTTTTATATTATTATTTTGTTGCGGTTTAATCTGTAAATTTATAAGCACAAAATATTTATTGCAAGTTGATTTTATTAGACCAATATACCGCCATTGACTCTCTGTTGATCGTAACGGTTGACTGTTAGAGAATGCCATCAGGCATTAAGTCCGCCCTGTAGACATATTTTAATGTGTGCAAAAGTATAAATTTATAAATGTTGAGAAAGCAATCCACACGTTTCTAAATATGGCAACTTTATTGCTTTCTGGTAGGTGTTTTTTTTTTTATTGGGTGATAATGGAACGGTAATGGTACGCTATCGGTATACGCCGGCGGGGCACCAGTGTTAGATGATAGGTGAGGATGAAGCAGGTCAGTTAGCCCATCGTGAAGAATTCCACTAGAATTAACCACGATGGTTTCCAGGGGGAACCGCGTGGAGGTCGACCTGACAGGGTGTATTGCTAGCAGTAGATCAATTAGACCTCATTACTAACAATCCCTTTCCCCCCATCTGGTCGGTGTTCGGTAATTGTAAGATGTAATGTTCATGGTACTGCTCATGTGTATAGGCGACGGTTACCACTTTCCATCAGGTGGGCCGTCAGCTTGTTTGCCATTCTAAGTTGTATAAAAAAAAATTGTACAACTTAAAAATATTAATAAATAAATAAATTTCTATTCTTATTTTAAAACTAACAAAGCCAATTGATAGATGATGTGGCATATTCATGCCATAGACAATTGTAGGGTGTCTCCAAATTGACGAATAGACAGGATTAATCCGCGTTCGACGAGTTCGAGTGGCCGTGTTGCGGGCATCTAATTAAGCAGGCGTCCGTGTTGTCAGTTCGTCTGTCACGCGGCACGGCTGACGCCGAGTGCCCATCGCATCTATCGTCAGTCCCCGTACAACGAATTTTGATTTAAAATGTATTGTGGCCACACGTGGCTGTATATAAACCTTGGTTGTTTGTGTTTTATTGTTATTTCAGCCGTTGACTGTCCACTGCTGGGCATAAGTCTTCCCTATAAGGGGAGCTTTGCCAGTAATTGCCACGCTTGGCAAGCGGATTGGCAACCGCAGTTAGGCTTTTAAAGATGTTTTAAGAGGGACTCTGGTGCTCATCCCATCCTCTAGCCTCTTACGACACCCACGAGAAAGGAAGGGGTGGCCCATTCTATGCCGGGACCACACAGGGCGGATGTGAAAGTTCTTAAATAAACTATTTTGTTATTTTGCATTATTAACCAACTTAAAAATTTTTACTTCACCGTGTGGTCCCGGCGTAGAATGAGCCGTCTCTTTTTTTCCTTTGGTATGGGGATTTAATGGTTGAGGGATGTACAACAGCGTCCCTCTTAAAAATCACCAAAGTCTAACTACGGTTGCCAACCCGCCAAATATGGCAACCAATGGCAAAATTCCTCTTATGGGGAAGTCCTACGTTGAGCAGTGGGCAGTTAACGGCTGATAGGGTATGAGAACTGACTTAAAAAAGAAGTAATTGTTTATTTTTGCTTTTCTACACTTTCGACACAAAGTTGTTGAACTCTTTTATCAAAACAAACACATTTACATTCATCCCAATAATAAGTAGTTTAGTTAAGATTGAAGTCGAATCATAAGCGACTTTTTATAAATTTCAACTTTTTAAAAAAGGAACAGCTGATTTTATTGCCCGTTCTTCTCAATCAAAATTGTATTCCGAATGGATGTTAGACTCATGGTTAGCGGTCATTCAAGAATGATTAAATTAAAGTTTATTTAAATAAAATTTACATCTTTCTTTCTTTCATTTCAAAAAGAGGATGTTTTCGATTAGTATTCAATACGCCATGCATAAACATTTAATGTTGAACCGCTTCTAATGATTATTTTGTTTTTTGAAAGTTTCCCTTCGTGACAGTCTCATATCTATATGAAATGAAATGAAATATTTATTTGCTTTAAACAGACATTTGACATTCTAAGGGCCATGTGACAAAACTTTTTGGCATCTGTTTAATTGCCTTAAAATTGTAGGCGTGCAAATCTAATTTATTGTTTAAATAAGGATACAAATTCAACTTAGTGGTTATTAAGATTATAGAATAAAAAGAAAAAAAGGAAAAACAATGCTAACATTGTTATTAACTTGTTGTTGTTAAATATATTCTTTATTGCATTAAAATGTCGGGAAAGTCCGTAATTATTCGAAATCGTAAACCGCCTATTCGATTACGTACACACACACGCGTATACGGTACTTCAACGACAGTTCACAAAACGAATTCAGTCTTCCATCCAACATACATCAATCACATGAATACATTGTATATGTATTTTTATTTTCAAGAAGTAACGACTCAAAAAGTTTGAAAATTTCTTTCGTGCAATTTGGAATCGAACAAATTTCGTGTTTCAACCGTGAAGCAGTTGTGTTTGTATAGCTGTGTTTCGATTTGAAGGGTGGGATATGGCGTGAATTTACAGGGTACAGTGGCATAACATTGAGTCCTCAGGAATGGCAACGCATGGGGGGTATCATGGGTGAAACAGTATACTTTATTATAGTATACATGGTACTGCTCATGTCTATGTTTGTTTGCTGTTAGCTTGTTTGCCATTTTAAGTTGCATAAAAAAAGCTGACGGCCTATTTGATAGAAAATAGTAACCGTTGCCTATAGACAAAATCAGTATTATAGGCATGCTGTGTCGCCCATGATACCCCTCATGCGTGAGAACTAAAGTGAGACTAGAGACCTCTTACCCTGTAATTTTATTGTCATATCCCACCCTTCAAACCGAAACACAGCCATGCAAACATAACTGCTTCGCGGTAGAAACACGAAT